ATCAACTGCCGAAACAACAGGAAGCTTCTCGCCCGAGTCAAGGCTTTCGATAGGTTCGTTTGCGAATACAATTCTAAAGACTCGCATAAGAGAATGAAAACGAATGAAGCTGTCATTGCGCAAGCACAACAGCGGACAGAAATTATTTTTTTTTTGTGATCAAAAAATGCTTCATTTTCGGAAAAATTTCTAAAAAAAGTATAAAAAAATGTTGTTTCGTCCAATCTTCTTTTTCGTAGAAAAAGTTATTTTGTTGTGTTCATTATATGTGAAATCTTCGAACGGCGAGAAAACTTGTTTAAAACAAGGATTTTTATGTAAGGAAAAAGAATTGACCCTTTACGCAACAATTTCACGTGACTGAGCGGACAAGCCTAATCGTTTTGTAATGGGTAACTTTATAAAATTCAGGCAATCGACTCGTTTTACTTGAATGATTAGGTTTGTTTATAAGATGGCTCGAGATGAAATTTGCCAGTGAGTTGCAACGAATTAGCTGGCGATTTAACTAATATTTCTACATGTTGGTTTGATTCCTACCAAGAACAAGAAGACTATTTGGGTGCATATTCCATGTTAATGATGTTACCGGGCTCATTACCTTGACTCATATCGATGGTAAAAATAGATTTTGTCACATGCCTGACTGCTAGACAGCCTTTAGTATGTTTTTCAAAGCATTCCTGGAAGAGGTGCTTATCAATACTATAATTAGTATTGAGTATTGATTAGTATTATTGAGTCACTTATTATTAGTATTGGTTGTATAATTAATTGTATAATTAATCGTAAATATAGTATAATTAGTATTGATTCCCTTCGAAATGCTTCGTCCTCACAAACGAAAGGTAGAGAGCGGCCAAAACAGCTGCGAATTCATTTCAATCTTGGATGCTTAGTGGTAGTATTTTTTCCAGACACTGTAATATGGTGCTAGAGGACGTGAAAGAAATGTGGATGGAACTGCCGAAGACCGGTAAAGGCAAAAAGAAGGCGGAAACGACGGCCAAGGATCGGTACATTTCGAAAATGTTTTTGCGTGGTGATTCGGTAATTATTGTTGTAAAGAATCCATCGGGTTATACGCAAAAAACAGTCACAACCACAACTAGCTGACGTGACGGAATTCGAAAGTTCGAAAACTGCAAGTGGTACAATTGCCTGCATTGTGTTTCCTTTATTTTATTATGTATTTCATGTTTCTAAAATATTCAGTTGTGCGATACGTGCACGGAATTCATGTTTCGGAAATAAAGTATTATAAGGAAAGCAAAAAAATGCACGAACAACTTAGCAATCTGCCTCCTCCAGCAATAAAGCGCATGCGTCTTCTTATCTTATGCAGTCCTGCAGTTAAATTATCCAACAACAAACACACATCCTCAACACCATGGTCTTGTAATAATGCCTTTTCTTTGTATTGAGAAACGCAGAAAATGGTCACATAAGCGCTACCCACTTGCAAAGTAAGGGTTGATATGCGAGATCTACGCTATTTTTTAGGATTTTTTTTTTTTGCCAGGTTTAGCCATTTTGCCAGATTAAGAGCCGTAA